TTTAAACAAATCAAGTTCGCACAAAACAAAAGGAGACAAGGTTAAAATGAAGTTTATTAGTTTTTTTGGTTTTTTTAAGCTTTTTTTATATAAAACTGTTTGTGAAACAGCTATTTTATTCCCATGGCAGAGTGACCCCCTGAAAGATGCACTAACCCCTTTCTTAAGGCCTTAACAAGAAAAAATCAGGAATTTTTGTGTTGTTCCTTAAACCCAAATGTTTTAAAATTACATAATTTACAAAAAAACCCCACCCCCCAACAACCACACCGTGTAGGCTGTTACACTGACACTCCTCCCTCAGGAAAGCAAACCACAAAACAAAACCAAAAAGGGCTAAGCGGATCTTCCTGATCCGTTGGAAGATAACGTTGACTCCACCAACATTCAGGCTTCCTCTCCAGCTCCCCGACAGGGCAGGTAAACCGGATCTTCCTCCCACCTGCCTTCAAAGCTGAAGGCAGCTCCTTGGAATGATGCGGGCAGGGCAGATACTCCTGTCCCCTGCCTGGGAGAGACGTTCCCACACGAGCGGCCTGTTCGGGATCTAGCAAGCAGCAGCTACCTCTGCCATCAGGAGGCGCGTGACCTCGGAGTCTTCGGGTGGTTTTCAAGCTTGCACTGTGGATACACAGCGTTCCCCTGTGTAACCGGTAACCTCCCCGTCCGTGTGTACAGGGCACGGACACCCCGTCACCTGCACCCGTCCGAGCCTTCCTCCCACGCTCTACGAAAGATTGATCCAATTCTGTTTGCCTTTTAAAACTGAAATTCCTTGGCTGTCGTGGGAAAGAAAGCAAGAGGAAGGGAGACAATCTTGTCTGGAGTACTCCCATTTCCACTATTCTTTCCCACAAAACGTCAGGCTCCGTGAGCCTTGCTTGGATTTGGGCTGTAACGGTTACTTTAGCTACAGTTTTCCTCTTTTAATTTAAACGGGGTTTTGTTAATTTTAATCAAAAGCATCAAAAGGGATATAGCGCACCTTTCATTTAAAACAAAGTCTTTCAAGACTAAAAAATAGATCTTTATATATATATATATATTTATCCCTCCCTCTTTAATTCCCCCCACCTGTTTCCTTTTTCCCCCTCCCCTTCCCACTGTCACTATGGAGATTGTGTCCATGGAAACAGCTGGTTCAGACTCCTTGGTCAGATTCTGTGATGTCATCAGTCTCGAGTGTGATGTAAGAATTTATGAAGGAAGTGCTGGCATTGGCAGGGAGAGGGGGCATGGCTGCACAGTGGGAGAGATTCCATTCAGTCACGAATGTCCACCGCTTTTTATCTCAACAGCCTAACCTGAAAAACAAAGGGCAACAGTAATATGGGAATGGCTCCTTGCCGTTGGCTCCGTCCGCCAACACGCCACCCCCAGCTTGGGAAAAACCCACTCAGCAGCCTACCGCAGCCGTAACACCGGGAGCTCTTTAGCCTTGCGGACTGAAAACAGAAGGAAGCACACCATGGAAGAGTTCATAAAAGCACACCCATGTGACAAAAAGCATTAGTTCAACAACCAGACGAAAAGGAAATAAGCCCTGCTACGGCGGAGGTCCGAGACGATCCGTGCCCCGACAAGGCACGGCGCTCTCACGGAGCAGCTACCTCCAGCCACCGGAGAGGAGCTCGTCTGCCTCACGTTCGCTCCCTGACTACCAAATCTGGAAGCCGTGGGGCCGAGCACACTCGAATGCGATGACAGCCCCAGGGATGCCCCGCTGCCCCTCAGCGACTGGCCCCAAGTGTCTCATTCCGGTCATCTCGCTGCCACCCGACAGCAGCTCCCAGGGAGCACGTACCAGACAGTGACACCGGGACCGAACTATGGAGTCCAGCTGCAGGAAGCAAGTTTGGGAAGCGGCTGGATTTCACAAGCTAAAGGTAAAGCTGCAGTTAAACAAGAGGTCGGGGAGTGTTTCTTTCTGCTGCTTTTGTTGTAATTGCCAGATTGCAGTGGCAGCGACAGTTGGTGGAAGGACTAAGCTCACGATGTCTTCCAAGGTAAATGTGGCAATGTCCAAGCGCTTGGCACGCTCCTTTCTCCCTGCCCAGAAACTCTCCGCGGTGAGGAGATTAACTTCAGGACTCTGCTAAGCTGGTGGCGGCTCAGCTGACGAGAGACACTGCAAAGTCAAAATGCCATGTCTCTAAACCACCTCCTCGTTCCTCATCTGCACAGCCCAGAAAGCAAAGCTGGAAATAACATATTCTGGTCCTGCCTTCTCCCACACCACGAGTGAGCCCAGAAGCGCCCTGTTTATTTAGTAAGGTTAACCCTTTGACATAACACAGACAAATCCCTCCCCACCAGCTAGCAAGCCCGGGAAAGGGAAAACTCCGGCTCACAACGTGAGCGAAGCATATGGAGAGCGGTTAACGGCGCGAGAGGTGTGCCTGGGAACGGCGTAACACCCCCGCTCGCTCACAGCTGGCAATTAAACCCCGGGAACCCTATCCAAGTGCGCTAACAGAAGTCAGTGCTGTTCTGATTACCAGCACACCGATCAGGTTACATCCCAGCGAGCCTACCTCCTGGCTGCAAATACCCCCCCGTACGGGGGTGCCTGGCTCCGAGCGAGGGAAGAGTCAGGCAGACACGTATGAAAAACAGGCAGGCAAGCCACGGAGCTCCAGCTAAGGAGGAAAGGAGGGAGGCTCCTGGCGAGTTCAGGCAGCTGACCTCCGCAGCATTCATTACTGTGCAACCGCGAGCCCTCGCTGAAGGGGTGTCAAGGCTGTGTTGCTGTCTCTGGCTCCTGTACAACTGCAGCTTGCCCACGCCTGGAATCGGTCCAGAGCATTAGGCACTGCCTCGGGGAGGAAACAGGCTCACCGCACAGAGAGAGTCCTTCCCCGTTCCTGGACAAGATCCAGAGCACCAGACTCACTCTCACAGTCACTCTCCAGATCTGGATTTGATCCAAATGTTCTAGAGGCAACTGGCTCAGGGAGAGAGAAGCAACAGAGACAGAATACACTGACTTGCCTGGATGTTGTCCAACACGCAGGATTTTTCTTGACTTCCTGGGCCTAGGAGTGAACCAGGACTACGGCAACCCAGTCATCAAAGAGCTGAGTGCCCGTTCTGTCTCACACTAAGGCCAGCAGAAGGGCAGCTCCTGCGCTACCAGGACGGCTACAGAATTCCTCTGAGCTTCTCCAGTCACAACAGTAATGCAGCAATTTGTTGTTGTTTTGCTTTTTAAAATTAACTGGACCTTTTCGATTTTTGTGGTCTTATTTTGGGGTGCAAGGTCAGGTTGCAGAATTTCATCTTGAACACATTCTCAGCATCAAAAGGGGAGGTTAAACAGCACCCTCAGGTAAGACCTATTAGAGGCAAAAATGGATTTGGAAAGAAATGCCGCCTTAGGGAAATGTCTAGAGCACGGGGTGAACGTGGTGCAGAGATTCCACAGCCTGCAAGGTCTTACGCCAATACCTTCCCACAATATACAAAAACCCCAAAGAGTTAGCACTGGGAAACAACACAGGAAACAAAACTGTGTAAAGGGCTCTGGGACACTGTAATGTTCACCAGCACCCAAAAAATCATCACTGAGGAGCCTTCTCTAGTGCTGCTGTCTGCGCCACGCTCACCCCATGTTAACATGAGGAATCATACTGCCTTTTACGCTTTAATGAAAAGAGGAAAAAGCTTAAAAGAATTCCAATGACCTTTACCCCTGAGAGAGTTTCTCAAGTAACGAACTGGAAATACTGTTTGCATGGGCACTCTTTTAACACCACCCCAAAGCCAAGAAAGAACACTGTTAAAAATGACAAATCCCAGGATGCAGCATAGTTAAACCAAGCCAGCAGTCAGCCTACAACATGTTTATATGGAACACTACCTGTCTTTGCTACTGTACTACGAACCAGTCTCTGATTGATCTCTCCTCCATCACAGAACTCACCACACAAAGCACAACTACTCTGCTCAAGAAACAGGTCCAATTTTATGGTCAGGGAGGTGTCTGGGAAGCCAGGGGACAGCAGTGAGGGAAGGGGATTCTTATCATCAGCTCAGAGAACAGACATGGAAAAGCAACTTCACCTGCATGATTGCAAGAAAAGGACAGAGCTTGAGTAAGAAATGCAACTGAGCAGTGAAACGAAGGCGAGAGACCTCCCTGGGCTACGGTTTATGGGAAAGGGTGCCAACAACCGTTAATGTGAAACCAAACACTTCATTCACACCTCCCTGTTGCCACCAAATGGAAACGTACTTGGTGGAAATGAAGAAATCCCAATCCCATCCCGTTCCCCGGGCGCTAACTCCCACCTCTGTGCTACTCCCCTCCTTGTGCCAGGGTATGTGCCCAGCCCCACTGTGACCCAGACCAGGAAAATGCCCCGACCCAGGTGCCAAGGTGACAAAAGGTTGCTTCAGCCCGATGAATTCCCCGCCAAGTTCACGCACGGCTGTGTGAATGCCCGGACTGGACCACGGAGGAGGCAGACAAGGAGAACAACAGGGGAGTTGGGGCGTGACAGCACAACTGCCCCTTTCCACAGCGCTGCCGGCCCACCCCGGACCCAGAGCAAGGGGCGGCCGGGGCCAAGGTACACACTACAGACATGGGAAGTTGTGGCCACTTGTGGATACAGTTCCACCTTCCGTCACCCGTGTCTGTCCGCAAAACGGAGAAAACTGCTGCTCTGAAAGGAACGTCACGGGCTCCTGGTAAGACTGATTTACTGATCCCTGTATGCACATTTCCAGAAAAAAGGGATTCAAGACCATTGTCATCTCGAACTCATCAGTACTATCATCCTTACATCCAAAATTTAAGAGACTTATGAGTTCATACGGAAGCTTACTATTAACTGCTCTGAGACTTGCAGATCCTTATGGATGTGATGATGGCAATATGAAAGGAGATTTCTGCCCCAGTTTAGCTGGGAGAGTACTCAGGCAGTTGTAACAGCTAACAAGCTTTGTCTCTCTGCGCTAAACAGAAGGAACTGCTGCAGAAATACAAAAAAAGTGACGTCACTCGCCTGAACAGAACGGTAGCAGGGTGAAAAAAAACACCGAGAAACACTTATTACACATTCCCTGAATATACACCAGAGCACCTGGATTTCTCACAGAAACGGGGAAGGCAGTGGAGGTAAGGAGCCACAGCAGACGGCAGGAGGAAACTGGAAACTCTCCCCAACTCACCTGTGCTTGCTTTTATTTCCATTCCCAGGAGTACACTTCCCCCCTCACCCCCGCTCCGACTGCTCTGTGCTGAGGCTGCCTTTCACCATCTTGTTCTGCAAGGAGGGAAGAGAGCAAGGAGGGAGGGGCTGACGGACCAGCAAGCCAAAAGGAGAAGGAGGGAGGAAAGGAAACCAGGGGGAGGGAAAGCGAACACACAGAAAGTGAGAGAGAGAAAGAGAAGTCAGTATTGGAACCAGACGCAGATTTTTCAGACAGAGTTTTCCCTGTGACAAAAGCAGGCAATTCCGCAAAAGTACAGAGTTTGGGGTATGAAAGCCTGGTTAATTTTAAGAAACACAGAATTTAACACAAAACGGTAGAGCAAGCTGAGCAACATCACTTAGAACTGCCCTACAGATGGCTGAAGACAACCTAAGACTGCAGTGCCAGCAAAAGGAGGGGTATCCCACACCCTGTATTTCCCCTCTCTGTGCCTCGGCATCCCCATCAGCCCTGCTGCACCAGCGCCGCTGTGCTGCGACACACGGCTGGTTGGATCTGCAAGAGGAAGCTACCCCTTCCAAAGATGATTAGTTTTCAGACAGCCTCTTCCCCGTGATAAAAGCTGCTGTTTTGCAAAAGCAGCACATTCAGGACATGGATGGTTGAAGCATCGATGCTGACAGAAGGAAATGGGAAAGCTCGCAGGGGAGCAGAGGGAAAGGCAGGACTGTCCCTCTGGACTCAGCTTGCTCATGCCTGAAGTGTCAGGCGCAGTTAATGAGGCAAGGAGCACCTCTGCTCGCCAGGAGCACTTGTGATGATGAGGTGTGTTTACTGACGTGAGCCATGGATGCAGCAGGGTAAGAGGTGCTGTACTGGGGGACTTCTCAGTCTTAGCCAGTTGTAAGGTTAGTTCTTCCACCCATTAACTACAGGAGAGGAGAATGAGGTATTGGACAGCTACTAATCAGCTACCGATGGTAAACTGGTATTACCAAAAAACATCATTTTCAATGGTCTAATCTAAAGTCTGTCTCCCTCTCAATTGCTTGTGCTCGTATCACACAACAAAAAAGGGATGCAATCTGTTCCCCAGCCATGGTTCTCATCCTTCCCGCTCCTGCCTCACAACTGGCTGGAAGTCCCTTTTTCCAGCCACTACAGTGGAAGGAGCCAGGTGATCCTACATTCCGCCTGCGGAAGGATTCGGAACAAACCAGTAATGAGCGGTGAATCACAGGGCAAGGGCAGAGTCCTGGCCAAGCAAAGAAAACGCTGCTTGACTTCAACCGAATGACTGATGTCTTTACTAAGGAAAAGCCAACGAGGTTCAGTGTCGAAGAAAGGCGGCTGGTGTACAGTTCCCCTTTTCGACCCAATGCAGAGAATGATCTGCAGTGGGGTAGTTTTGAATAAAATCCAAAATGTTATTGCCTCATGAAGTACCTTTATCAACTCAGGTAGCAGTTTCCCCCCTCCCAGCCCCCAAGATTACTTCAGAAACGACTGTTTCTGCTCAGTGTCTTCTCCGCGAGGCCCAACCCTGTAAAAGGGTTGTTTCCTGGTTTGAGCACCACGGCTGCAAGTGCTCACCCACAGCAGCCATGACACAAGCCAGCTACGACGAGCTCTGACACTGTGCTTCCCTGCACTACTCCAGGCGGTGGGCAGTGAAATGAAAGAGGCTTCAAAGCCATAACCTTCCTATCCTCTTCAGCCGAGGCGCCGTTGGGCAGAGGGTGGCACTTGGGTAGCTGCGTCCCACCGTCAGGGCTGCCCGTCCTTCCCGATTTTGTTTGGCAAGATCTGCAGGTCCGTGTAGCGTTCGTGCATCGAGTGAAGCTTGCTGTACATTTTCAACATTATTCCACAATTGTGCGGAATAATTTATTTGGTTTTAGATGATGGAAAGTAGGCCACGTTCGGGATAACAGCCTGAATGCCCCCCGAACCTTCCAGCGCGTTTTAAACACGGGTGTATAAACACATCATATTGTGGTGGAACATTCAGAAAGGAACGTGAGACTAATTCCTGTATGTTTACAAAAGACAGATTAAAAATAATCTGGGAAGACAAAAGGCCACCAGATGTCAGTGCAATTCTAGCAGAGAAGAGATCTGCAGACCAGGACTAAATGGAGACTAATCCCTGCTAGAAAGCAACATAGTTTTTCCCTATTATCATTTCCTTTCCAGCATATGCCATCCACACTCTTGCATAACTCCTGTTCTATCCAACCAGTCACAAGAACAGCCATTTTTCTGGATACTTCCCAGCACTTAAAACTGCTGGGCTGGTATCCACAGTCTCCCAGAGACACACCCTGCCTCATGGGCCGGGAGGGGTATTCCCAGCACCGTACACTGCCTGTATGCACAGGAGAGCATGTACTGTCTGCCTCGTCCCTTCTTTCTGTACGGACAGAGCAACAGCAGCCCACTCCTAGCACCAGTGTTCTCAAGTTCCAGGGACATTCATTTAAGGATGCCCAAACTCTCAGCAGAAGCAGCATGCTGAATCCATCACCAAAAATGATGATGGGTCTTCTGACAAGTCAAGGATCTAAGGAACAACTAGACAGATAAACTGCAGGCTGAGTGGCAGGACTCAGCCTAGTTGGTACCTCTAAACAACGTGTTCCAGATTCATCACTACACAGTTCATGACACAGTCTAACATTTCCAAAAACTGGTTGAAACTTTCCCACGAGCCATTTTTCTTCCCCCTGGCATCCTCAGTAATTCCAAGGAAGAAAACCACCGGTTTCAACGTAGCACTCAAACAGAAACAGTGAGCAGCGCACTGATTCTACCACAAACAATGGGGACTGAAGCTGGGCTTTGTAGAGTCATCATGGCTCTAAAGAACAACTGATCAGATAGGGCAAAAGCTTCATTTATCTTCTTAAACTCTGTGTTCTTCTCAAGTCTGTGTTTGCCCCCAGAATATACCACAAGCACACATCACAGAAGAATTCATCTAAAAGCAGCTCTGACTACAGATGTTATCCAGGTGTAAAATTTCTAGCCCAAATGTAGATGCCAGAAGAGGGCAGCAAAAAACAGGTCTGACCCAGGAGAGGATTCTTACCTTGTGCTTGGGGCACCTCACTGAGAAATTCTCTTCGTTTAGTAAACAATCTAGGGGAAGAGAAGACAGCAATGTATTACTTTTTTAATAAAACCCAACTTGAATAATACATCACATCTGTTAATCTTGGCTCACAGGTATGTATTTTTCATTCAAAGATCTCTTAGAGGAATACTATCTTACTGGCAGGTTCAACCCTTCCACCCCCAAAGTCATAGCAAATAAAATTACTGAACACCCCAAGTGATGATGTTGCCTGGATTACCAAGCCAAGCCCGAGCATCCTCAGTCTCCCCGAGCCTCTGTGTAGGGTAAGAATCACAACAGCACGTCTACAAATCCTGTATCCTAACCCCCTTCAGTCATTCCAGCCTTCCTTGCTACAGCACAAGGAAGAGAATGCGTTCACCCAATCTGAACAGAGATCCCTGCTTAACAGAGATCCCTCACTTCTTAGGAAAATGGATGGCTTCACCCTTACCTCATGGCCCTGCCAACACTGGGGGGAGAAGGGGTGCGTGTCTCTAGGTATGGGTGTGTATGACAGTTAATTTGCTATCCCAAATCCTGGTGATCACTTTGACACTGTGCCGGCTTAGCCAGGTCACTTACGCTGCTCTCGGACCTGCTTTCGTGACATGTGTGTGCGAAGCTTCTGTGATCTAAGAAATAGTTTAATTAGTGATTTAAACCTATTGTGGAAAGTGGGGAACCTAGGTCGAACTGCTTATTTAGGGACAAATTAAGCAAAGTTTTGTTTGAAGAGCATTTCTGTAGTGGCCCTGCCAGTGTAAGCCTTGCTTCCCCTCTCGCCCTCCCTCCCAGACTATGCCTCCAAGGGATTCCGAGTCCTCAGCTCCCGGAACGCCAGTGCCACGCACACCGGGAGCACGGCTCCCTGTCCTCCATTGGTGCCTTCCTGATACGCCGTATCTGGAATATATTCCAGATGCTCACCCTGCCAGCCAAGCGACAAAGCAGCGCCCTCCCGAGAGCGTTCAGCTGCCTGCCCCGGGCACCCTCAGCCTGGCGGTGCCTCACGAGCACCCTCACCGCCACCGCAGGTCCCAGCACCGCCGCCACGACCCACACCGTGAGAATTCAGCAAGGTGCTCGCACCCCCCGCCTGCTCCAGCCTCCCCAGACAGCCAGCAAGGAAAGCTGCACAATGGTAAATAAAATGTGCTAATTTAAAACGCTCTTAAGTACGCAGCATAACCAGCGCTACCTGCTGTTTCAATCTGCTGGAAGAGTTTAGCAGACAGCAGGAGACTGCAACTAAAGCTTGAGGGAAAAGCTTTCTAGACACCCAAGCCTTGGCAGAGCATCCCTCTGCTATGAAACGCTTATGTTTCAACATGAATGCCTCTGGCCTGAATCAAAGGGAAACAGCATGCAATAGGCTAAGTTACTGGAGAGATTTTAGCAAAGGGGAGTAAACCCCTTAATCCTGCCACAGATAACAATTTCCAATGCGGAATTAGCAAATAACAGGAAATGTTTTCTCATTATAAGGGCAGGAATTGTACACTGAGACTACAGCATGAATTATCGCTGCATAATACAGCAGTCATCAAGAATGTACAGAGCAATCATCAAAAACATACACAGTATGTTAGAACAGGACGGAGTTTTCTTCTTTCTTGGAAACGTGACGTCGCTAATGAATGCGCTCCTCTAGCTAGCACATCAGAAAGGAAGATCGTGCAAGGATCAGGAAGAACCGTCAGAAACCTTGTACCCCATGTCTGAGCTGCACATGGAGCTCCACTTCTTACTAAGGTTGGCATTTTTGTGGCAAATACTAATAGCAGAGCCAATTAATAGCATTTTTTTCGTCTCCTTTAAGGGACAACTATGAAGAATTTCATGAGCTTACTGTAGAAAATCAGCTGAATACCAATAAGGCAAAACTTGTTCATCATTACAAAGCTGGCCTGGATTTCAGTTAGCAGCTCCAAGTATTTTATATCACACATTACAATTCATCATGAAGTCACCAGATGCACAGCTCTGATCAGTTCATTGTGGCAGAAAGGGAAAAAGAACCAAGACTCGTCCTTGTTTGTAAAGATTTTTCTCCATAAAATAGTCAGGGAAAACCTAAACCATTTTTAATAGAAGCAATTATTCTCCTGTAAGCTTCACACTTTGTCTCACCCTCAGTGTTCTGCTTGTTACTCATCTGTAACGATGCTCAGGAAGACACAGGATTTCTGGTCTCTGAGAATTGCTTTTATTTTGCTGCTAGCCTCTTCCCAATTTAGAGTCTAAAACCTTTTGTATGCGGAACTGCCAACAATACATGTTGTGGGGACGAGCAACCATCAGGATCTGACTCCAGGTGGGGAGGAACAAGCAGAGGGAGAGGATACAAAATTTCACAAAACAAAGATCCTGTTGCCATGGAGACGTCCCTAGGACTAAGTTATCTCTAGACATCAGAGGCTCTTCATAAATTTGGACAGACGGAAGCCAAACACAGACAATGTTAACCACAGTCATTTCCATATAAAAATTACTTAAGTGGCACTGCTGATGTTGATTTTTATGCAAATAGCTAGGAGGAGCTCAGCTCTCTTGCACTCTGTATTGCCCAAGATTACTTTGTATGAAGGGAGATTAAAAGGCAGGCTGAATTAGGCTACATAAAAGCATCCATATGTACGAACTGGCAGCTTCCGCAGCCACGTGCCTCGCACAGCAGCCAATTAGCAACCGTGGTGCAAACCTTGGCTCCTCACCAGGGTGGGACTGGAAGCGACCGTGGGCACAGCTGCCAGAGCCCGGGTCATACCGCGGGGCCAGCCTTCAGCGCTGCAAGTAACCGCAGCTGTTCTGAGGCATTTCACCCGCCAGACCCTCACGAAACACGTACTGCCTTTCAAACGAGGCACAGTGACTGTCGGGTACTAACTGCTAATCCACACCAATGCAAAGGTGAAAGCACGCTCCCAGTGCAACCGCCTGGGCGTTCTTCATCCCAGCTAAGGCACGGTCACTTCCAGGGATGCTGCAGCACCTCACTCAAACACCAAGTGTTTATGACTTGACACGCTCTTAAAAAAAACCCCACGCTCCAGCAAGTGTTCTCCGACTTCCATTAAAGATACAAACCCAGCCATACATATTGCAAAGGCCTGAGAGCCCTTGTAAACGTCAGCACACGCTTCTGAGGATTCAGAACAGATCTGTCCCAGATCCTCAATAAAGCAAGGTGGCACCATCCTTCAAAGCAGGACGGTCGACTTCAAATGAAGCTACCACAGAGCTCAAGGACCGTGAGAAACATCCGTACGTGATTCTCCACGGGAGGACAGCAGCACTGCATAACCAGTAAAAAGGGTTTATAGGCAGACAGCAGGCTGAGGAGAGAGAAAAGAATGCTGATGTGCTTCGCAAGGAAGCCTACATTTTCTGCTTGGGCATAAATGAAAGTCAAGTCCTGTTCCATATAGCTTATTTCTTTTATACAGATTTATTGGAAGAGCAGCCATAGATTAAGACAGCTTGAATTCACCCACAGATAAAAGCAACCGCAAACAAGGTCTTTTACTGCCATACCATCAGGCTGAACTTTTGAATGCTGAGATTCTACTTCAAGCTGGGCTCTTTTATTTGTTTTGGTCGAAAACTTCGGCTAAAGCAGCCTAACAATTTCCTTAAAGCTCTTTCTTGGAAAAAAAATTATCCCGCCCATGTTAAACATCCCAGCAAACTTTCTCTGAAAACCTCTAATGTACCCTGATTTCAGCCCAGGCACGGCCTTGCCAGCTTGCCACAAGAGCAGCAAACGTAACTCTCTGAAAGGAGGGATTTTAACCTGCACATCCTCAGTAGAGGCTTCCTAGATTTTAACTGTCAGGTCCTTTGAAAATTCCACCAAATATACTTTCGCTGGGGAGTGAGCAGGTCTCTCCTGTAAACAAACCTCTGGCCTGATTTAAGGATTAGACCCAGAAGCACTGAAGCAGTGGTGGACATCCCTAAGGCTTGGGCAGCCTGAAGGTGACAGTCTCCAAACTGCAAAATGGGAAGCACCGACCCACAAGGCAGCAGAAGTGAAAATGTTACGGAGAAAGGCAATCCGGAACTGGAGAGAGGGGAGACTAGCAGGGTGATGAGCCTAGTGCTAGTATGGGTTTGGAGCAGGGAATTAAGGATGAGTGCCAGCAGAAGGAGGCTAAGACTGAAGTTGGATTGATTCAGCCCAAAGACCAGAGACTAGGAGGAACCCATGGGGTAAGGCACAGGAAGGTGAGGAAGATCAAGGGCAATACACCAGAACAAACAGGGACTAGCAGGGTAAGCGTGACAAGGAGCTAAGTTAGGAGACCAAGCGGGAATGGGAAGCCCGGAGATGAGAAACAGAGCTAGACGCAAGAAAGGAGAGGAGGCTATACAAGAGCAGAGAGGAAGCAGGCAGAATGACAGCTAGGAAACTGGGCTGGCTAAGGAGAAGTTGGAAAGGAGTAGGGAGAATTGGGTCTTGCAAAGAGACTGCAATAAGAAATCTGAGAAGAGAAACCTGAGACCAGCTAGAGAAAGAGCTTGTGGCTGGTATGAAGAGCCAGTGGAGAACGTATCAGACACACACAGACTGAGGAGGAAGAAACGGAAAGGGAAATGTATAAGGAAACGAAGAGAAGCCTTTGTTCTCACTAAATCATACTCTTCCTGGAGCGAAACCAGAGATTCAGCAGTCATACCGCTCCCCTGCTACTACTGAAATATGTTTGTGAGACTCTCAGTCAAAGTGTCCCACCTCCACGCAGCTCCCAAGTGGCTTGCAATTCCTGCCCTACTGCTCAAAGGAGGGAAATGGTGCACGCTGACAGATGGCCACATGACAATGTGATGTCTCAGAAGAAAATGAAAAGAAAATGAGGGAAGCATAGCCTTGGAACTTGAAAAAGATACTCTAAAAAAACCTCAAAGGTTGCAAAGCCAATACAAACCCGAGGAAAAGGCAAATTTAATGTAACCCACTTCTACATATTACACAGCAGACATAGTATATTACATTTAATATGGACTAAATGGTGAATTATATACTAGTTTTTGCACAGAACACTGCCTCTTCCGTGCATGACACAGAACTGCTGTTGAGAAGCAGTCATGACTGCTCCGTGTGTTTGTCATCTGGAGGATCCCACCGCGTTTGCTGAAGTGGAGCAGAGTTAATGAGGAAGGGATATCTGAAGAAAAAGGACACTATCTTCATTCTGATACCTGTGTTTGGAACGTAGAAAATGCTACATACTGTATCTAGTAACACAATAAATCAACTTAAGCCCCTAAAACTACTGGGAACATTCACCACTACTGTTTATTTTGGTTTTTGCATGCTACTGAAAAGGGCAGGTCACAAACCAGAAAAACTTACTAAACACAGTATGAACACAAATCTGATGATTCTCTCTCTCAAATGTACTGCAAATGAGAAGTTTGTTAATGCTGATGAAGCTCTTAGGCATGACAGAGATGAAAATCACAGAAAATGCCACAGTTCCACTTTCAAAATTGAGACGAAATCATATGAAGTAAATAAAATACAGAACCAGCGAGGCCAGTTATTAACACGTCGATTATGATCTTACAAGATACATTCATAAAATACTAAAATGAAACTTACATGGACACCCTTATTTCTGGCAAAATTTTGAGTGTGTGATTTTTGCAACCTGAATAATATTTCTGTAACGCCTGATTTCATGTAAAATCAAGGCTCCTCCATCTGTACTGTGGTACTAGTAGTATTCCACTCCAACATTAATTTCATTAAAAACATTCCCATTAGAATAAAATGTGGTGCTCCAGCAGGGGGGGATTTCACAGCAAGAGGTGCAATGCAGGCATTCAGAAAGGAGCATAGCTACTTCAAATACCGTAACATTTGAAAACCAGTATAAAACAGGTCGTGAAACAAGTGGGATAACAAACAGGAAACTTGCAATTATTTGCCAGTGAAGAGATGCAATCTTAAATTCTTACCTGCTTGTTATCTAAGTGTTGTATGACCTGAGCAGTGAGTTAACAGGGGACTGGAACAGTGGGACATTATTCATTCTGAGCTGGAACTTTTTTACCCAAGAATAAAGTTTATCTCCATGAAAAACTTCCACTACTGTATACAAAACACCACCTCAAAACCCCATGCTTGTAGCTGGAGACAATACCATCCAAACTCCAGCCTGTCCAATGAAGACAGTCTGACCTACTCCAGAGACTGGCTGAAATGCTCCTAAGGACGGGGAAGGAAGGCTGTGTTGTAAGTGCTACCGACGACTCTACAAACACTTTGCACTTGAAATCATTACTCTGACTATCCACAGGAGTGTGTGTAACCCTGAGAAAGTAAACATCTTTCTGGTTACCTGCACCCTTTTAACAAAGGGTTTCTATTTTTTTGCAAGAAAAGAGTGGCCAGTTCTCATACTGCAGCCAAACTTCAGTCACTGTAGCTGCACTCCCTAAAATCAGGCTTCCAGGTAGATTCTTTTTCCCTGCAAGTCCCATCTTGTCCCAGCGCATTGCTGTATGCTGTTTATCTGACGCCATCTCTCACCATTTGTATTACGGTATCTTCAGAGTAGGCAAGAAACTCAGAGGAAATAAATTTGTCAAGTACCTTGGAATTATACGTTTTGAATAAACATGAAACGTAGCTAGCATGTCGTTTGTTCTTACCTGCATCGATGGCACATGGGTAATGGTATCGGAAGGAGCAGCCTTTGTTGTAGCAGCCTAAGGTGGCTCCCGGTTCCTGGCAATGGGAACATTTCTGAAAGGGAAACCAAGAAATGCCAATGAAGACTGCAATCACCTTTCCAAATACCTGTGTTTTCCTGGGAATGTTCTCAACCACATTCCAACAAAAGTTTCTCGAGTATTGTAATCTTAGACTCTACCTTTCCACACCATACAAAGAAAGGCCTTTTGAACAGGCAACAACATAAGCTCTTTCAAACAACAAACTTCTCAGCTGTGCTAACCAGGCAAGCGATACCAATGTTCAAACCAACCATTCCGAAATAACTTGCAACACTTCACGAATCCACCTCTCTGGCCTATGTTTCAGTATCTGACAATGACATCAGTGTTAAAATTGGAGGAAAAGAGCTTTTTGTGAATCCGCAGCAGCTTTAAAATGGTAATTAGCATGCCAAAGAATGATTTAGAAGACACCATTAGCCTAAAAGTAATTTGGTTACATCATTTTCATTATCACTAGCAGTCCAAGAAGATCAAGGCCAAGTTGAATATTTTTTCACAGGTGATCAAAAAAGACTTACTGGGAGCAGGAGAAGATGCCATCAAGGGAAAATACCTCACCGTCAGGGAAATGGCACATCTCCGAAAGAAACACCTGCAGTGCTAGAAAGATGCTCATACATTTATTTTCCAAGTAATAAGACTCATCTGATGATCACATTCGATTTTCATTATTTAAATCCTATCATCTCAACTGGTCAATGATGTGTTTAACCGTATTATCAGAGCGGCGTGAATGCAGCAGAACGAAAGCTCCTCACCCACTTACTTCATCCTGAATGAGTTAAGGAAGGACCTATAGAAGTAGGCCTGTCATGCATCTCATTCAGACAGCAACTTTACTTCTCGAATGTATGCAGAGTCATATTCGTTAATTAATCTAACATTCTGATGAAAGATGACTGACAGGTTGACATTTTTCCCTTCTAAAAAGAAAACAAGGCACATGTGGCAGAAACCACCGAAGACTAAAAGACCACTACTATTTACAAATTAAATAACTACACAAATAGGCCACTGTCAGAAAAGATGACCTAAAATAACTGTTGAGTTACACTTACAGGAATTTTGGGCTTGCTGATGAACACAGCCAACACCACTAAGGCCTCGTGTACCTGGTATGATTCACTTTGGGTTTAGGGTATAAGAAGTCTGCTGAGCGATATATATTGATATATATTGGTCACTGAGCGATAACATGATCCAAGCCCTTTTTTTCCTATCGGAAAAGCTAGTGTCAAACTTCACGCGCTCTGTCAACACCATCAGCAAGCTACACCTGTAGAGCACACGGAGCAGATGTGCTCGAACCAGCAGCGCACCTGGCACCGGACAGAAGCTCAAGGCTTTTACCGTACGGGGAGGCTCCTATGCCAAGATGGGGCCACATCAGCTGGACCACACTTCTTCACGTCCCCGACTGACAGACACGTGGCAGCGGAGGTCAGCAGAATAAATCTGGCCGATGACAACCGCCACAGCGAAGCTCCTTGCTCTGCGTAGTAACCAGGGTTTCCATTACAGTATTTAAACACGAAGAAAACGTGACAGTCGTTGCTCTTCCTACTACCCTGTGCTATGCCGGGATGACTATAGCTTGTATTTAAATGACTGAATGGAGATGAAAGCAAAACTAGCTCCAGCCACAAACCAGGTGGCCCTCTCCAAATCAAAGCAGATGCAACGAACAGAAACGCTTGTGAGACGTCAGTTCTCATGACATCTACAGCTGCAGTCTTGAACACTGCCTTCTCTTTTCAGTTCTGCCAAAGCATCGCGAGCCTCATCTTCAGCGCTCCCTATTAAATCTCCCTTCTAAGCAGTGAACGCGTATCATGACAAACTCCTGCAGTATTTATGGTGTAAGGGAAGTGTCCCTGAAGCCTAGAAAGAGACACCCAAGCAGCTTGTTTCTGTCTGTCAGAACACGAACGCTAGCTTCCAAAGGTAAAAAACCCATGAGAAATCTAACCCCATATTTAAATGCACACCAAAACGTACGAACCTCTAGCCAAACAGCGATGTAATTATCTCTCTCACAGGAGTAAAACCAAGTTTCGTGTACAGAAAAGGTATTTTCCAAGCTATGAAGTCAACCCTAGAAGAATATTATGTAATGGCAATAGTCCCAAGATTCACCCATGCCAAGTATTCACGAAGTGCAGCTTGAGGAGTTTCGGACCGCAGCGCTTTACCTGTATGCTTTATTCTGGCTTTTAGATGTGGCTGACTGAGATTAATTATTCTAACAGGACAGAACCCAAATTGACTATTCTTTTTGAACACAGATAGGAATTTCTAGTTTAGTTCCTCAGAGGCATTCTGTCCTCCCCACTTTATCTCGTCTTTGAAGTACCATCACACGGTTGCAACAGAAGGTCATTCTTCCCTGGAACACCGTGTCCTGTACAGAGCAGCCAATAAGAGCATAAGAACCACAGCGGTAGAGATTAAACTGCAGCTGCGTAAAATATTTCTTAAAACCAAAAAGGCATGTCTCAGAAGTGTGCTGTGCGACCAAACTGAAAACAAGATGACCCCAAGCAAGATTTTTGATGCTTTTCCAAATGTTAATTTAGTCTTTGAACTTAATTCTTTGTTGCATCTAGCGTGGTTCATCTTGCTATTCTGGAACTCGCAGCTGAAGCACGACAGGCATTCTGATGAATGTTAAGCGTGCCCGTAGCACTGCTCAGCTGAGAATGGGTACCGTGTGCTTTCCAGTGGGTTGTAGTTAGGACTGCTCAGCCAGGAGAAGTGGGCAGTTAAGATGCTAGAGCTTGAGCATCAAGCCTTCATTTCCCTTTTTTCAGTCTGTCCGCCCAACCCGATTATTACCAAGGTTACCTGCAGCTACGCCCACAACAGCAATTCCCCAGGGGACTCCAATACCACTGACTGCTCAAGGCAGAGATCATCTGCTGCTGCTGGCTCCCCTGCTGCTGAACAAGTCTCCATTCTGGCAGATGCTTCTGCTTTTCACAAGCCACTGACAGTCTAATGGCCCCATTTCTTCTACCTCCTGGGACCCCCGACCATCTGCTTCTTTCAGGGGAAGCTGGGGGAACCACATACACAATAACTACTCTCTTCTTTTCAGTTCTTCCTTCTTGACACACCACAGAGTGACTGAACAAAGCAGACACCCCACAAAGCTGTACGGTCCTAAAATCTTACGCATCTACCACTTGATCTTTGAAAGAGACCATCACCATGTAATGCCACGTGGTTTCCAAATATATCCAGGGGTTTCTAGAAAGACAGAATAAAGTGATTAAAGAATTTCTGGATGGTCTCAGTCTTCTTTTGCAAGACATCACTGCTGTGCCTTAAAACGGTGAAATGATGCATAGCTCCTGCTGGTACTTACTGCGGCTTCAGTGAGAACCCTTACCTTACGTATTTATGTCTCAAAACCAGAAAGAAAATAAAAGATGTACACTCCAATTAGGAAACTAAGTCCCAAATAAAGTTGCAGAACTTCATACAGGCAATGTGTGAACTGGGCTTAATGACCACTAATCATTCTCTTTGGAGCAAATTTTCACCCCAACTCCACCATCCTGCAGCCATTCACCAGCAGATGGTAGCAGCCTGCTTGTCACTTGTAAAGGAATTATAGCATTCTTAGCCAGGGAAACAGCACTCAGGCTCTCATGGGAAGAGAAATTCCTTTTGCTCAGTAAGCAGCCTGCTTAACCTCCCCTGCTTGAAAGAGCTGAAGGCTGGTACTTGGAGTGTGCTCCCAATGGGAGGTGCCAATGGATAGTAATCATTGCCAGGCATCTAATCAACTCCTGGCTTAAATTAAACAAGAAAAAAAAGGGGATAGAAAAAAATGAAGACAACATAGGAGGAGGGAAAAAAAAAAAAGACCACACAGTGAAGATCGATTCAGAGGTCCTATCTCCACAATTCATCTCTGGCCACAAGGCACATACATCTCACTGAAAATAGGCTGGAGAGACTGAAAAGTGCCATTTAGAAAGACACTCCAGCCCTTCAACTAAATTAGCACTAGCATTAAAGCCAGATCCATTGTCTCTACCTCTCTCTGCTATTAGCAGCCCATTTCTTCCTCCCTACAGCTCATCATTCTCTGTCTACCAAAACACCCAGCCTGGAAGTGGGAACAGTTGGGGGACAGCTACCACAGCGGTGCCCAAGCTGCTCCCATTCACTCAGAGCAGGAAAACATCCATTAGACATGTCGTCTTCTGCCTTAAGGCTCCCTTCCTTCATTACTACAAGAGTAAACTCTTCTGAGAGCACACTTCCCTAAATGCAATACACAGGGTTGTGGGGTTTGGGTACCTTTTTTTGCCTCCCTCGGATCTGTCCCCAACTCCACAGAGGCGTTCTAACGCGTCCATGTCCTGAGCCACCTGCCGTCCTCCTCCCAGCCAGGCACAAGCTCTCAGGCTTGTGTTCAAGTGCCCCGAGCTGCTCAAGCAGGACACACACCTTAACGCTTCGGCTCTGCGCTGACGGAGCTCATGCCTTCTCTAGGAGTACTGGAATCCCACAGCTGACAGGGTTGGGAGGACGGGAGCCACCGGACTAGCCCTTCCAACATATTCTGGGCAGCAGCAGGAACAGTTGCCTAGGAGCAGAAATTAATTGCTTCTGCCTAATGCTAATATGAGGTGTTTTCAGATGACTCCTCCGCTATCTTCCTTCTGGGACCACTACCACGGCGGTTTAGGCAAGGACGTTCACAACAGATCCAGCAGTGTCACGTTTCCCACTGTCTATAACCCAGAGCGGCTTTCCTTGCTGAGGGGTTGCTTCTTGCAGTTCACTACCTGCGCCCCACACTCCGGCTTCATTCCAACTTCTCTCCTACAAGCACCGGTTTTTCATCCGCTCCGTTTTCCTCCCTTTCTCTCTGCTTTGCTTTCTAGATATCTCCTCGTTTTCCCCCTCCCTGCATACCAGTGTTGAGAACGCATACACAGAATAAAATGAAAAGCAACAACTGAAGGTTACTAAAACAGAAAAAGCAGGCAA